GGTGGGAGGGGTGTGCGTAGGGGGCTGTGGGTATGGTGGATGGTGTCTGGTGGGGAAAGTCATATTTTGTTCATTTGTCCTAAAATTACTAGTTTTTGGGCTAAGCATCTGTGTAACAATTTCTAAGATACTTAAAATTAACATAGTATCATCACCAGATGTATGCATATTGTTGTGCATTATGGATTTATTACCATTGTCTGCACCCATGTAAAATGGCTAGCTATAATATTTTTGGTTGCTAAACAAGTAATTTTAAGAAAATGGAAAACTCCCAATATACCTTAATTCTTGGAATGGTTAAAAGAACTTACGCATGTTTTGTGTTAGTGGAAAAGATTACATATGCAAATAGATATAACTTGACTCAATATGAAGAAATATGGTGCAATATGAATCTTCTGTTAAGTTTATAAGTTGATCCGTTTGTGGTTTGGTATCCTTTAAATGTATATGTATATTTGTTAGTTGGTCATATATAAATGTCAAGCTTTCCCTTTCCCCTAGTCTCTACTAAATATATAGCATGTATGTTTAATTATCTATTTCGTAATACTTTGGTTTTGCTTTTTTATTGTATTTTACTTAGTTTATATTTTATGGGTTTTGTTGTTTTTGTTATTGTTATAATATGAAAATTAATAACTATAATTACAAAAAAAGACACTCCCAATCATAAATGCCCCAGACTGTGGGAAGTTCGAAGCTCACACCCAAAATTTGTTTCCTGGTTCTATTTTTTTTTAATTGTAAAGTGATGGATTTCAAGAGATGATCTGAAATAGTGTCAATGGGACAGAACTGCTAGCTGAGCAAAAGGGTTGGTTTTCGAGAGACCATTCATTTATGTGGCCCATTAAAAGGAAAGGTGAATGGGGAGGAAATTTTTTTTACCTGTATACAAACATTAGACAGGTAGATACATTAGTAGAAAGGTAAATAGACAATAAATCGATGGATGTGTTTATATATGTGTGTGCGTGTTATTACTGATAAACTATATGGTTAATGGCTATAAAGCTTGTCCTGCTGGAAATCCTGGAAACTGAAGTCCTTTGAAAGGTATTAACAATTACATAGAAAATGATGAACAAAATTCCAAATCAATTTTATATAAAAGTTGCAAACATATACCTTACTCCATCACATTTTTCCAGCAGTTTACTGATTTTAATTTAGTTCCAAGACTTTTTACAAACATAAGAGCCCAGTTAAAATCATTGTATGTTTTTATTTCATAAAGCTATGAGGGATCATTGTGATCATATGACTTCCTGTGTAACACAGGCACCAAGACTTTGTCTGCTAGATTAAAACAATTCTATTAATAGAGGAGATAAAGAAGATTCTCTTCCTAGAAGAGATAAAACAGTAACTAAGAAACAAACTATTACCTTCTGTTCAGTAATATCTTCACATTTGTTTAGAAATCTATTTGGTGCATCCCACTCTTTGAAGCTTCCTAGACAAATAAAAACAAATTGCAAAAATGAATAGGTCATGATTCATCTCTGACGTACACCAGCTCTGCACTAGGTTACATACATTTTTGTTGGTGGAGTTATCAGTAACTTGCACCAATCTAAGACAAAGTCATTTTCGACCTGGAGGGATGTGGGCAGTGGTGTCCCCCAGGGCTCGGTCCTC